TTCTGCTCCTACCCATAAAAATAGCAATCCACTTGCGTTATACTTTCCTGACTTCTGGTGCCACTGAATGTCGTGATACAGGAGATCAGCATTTCCTACAAGCATTAATTCCCACATGATAATTGTGTTGACCAGTTACAGCAAAAACCACCAAGTCTTGTGACATCTTAAACACTTACAAATTCATTATGTATTAGGTTCTGCTACATTGATGTGTTAAGTTTTCCAGCATAAAAATCAGAAAGTAGGCACTAAAGCCAAAGAAAACCAAATACAAGCAGCTTGCCTCGGCTACTCCCAGCTCGCAACACTTGCTACAATATTTTCCCTGTCTGGGCGATTCTTGTCTCCAGACACAAGAACAACTTTCTGCTTAACTTTTCTTTACTTTTTGCTTTTATTATCACCTCAGATCTATTCTGACTTAGGCTTCTATTCCATCTACTACTGCTCTTTATCCTCAGAGGTTTGGATTTTGAGCTAGTCACTTGGTCTTGTAAACCCCGAGGTAAATGGTTTCTCTTGAATAGGTATTTTCCCTTAGGATTCTCCAGATCTGGGTTTGGAAGCCCGAAACTAAGTCTTCCACAAGACTCTAACGTGTAGCCACTTCTTACCACAGATCCTAACCCCTCCTAGCTAAGAATACCTTCAAACTCAAGCCAATTCAATTTTTTCACTGGATTATTTTGTATCCAACTGCTATGCCACTAATTTGATATGTTACTGGCTATCACATGGTTGTTTCACCAAGCCAAGGGCACAAGCTACGTGTTGTGTCGTTGCCACCATTGTATATTATTAATGATAGAGGTCCAGGCAAAGTGTCATTTTAAAAAGAACCAAATATAAGTTGTTTATTATTACAGATGATAAAGGTGCAGTCGATGTCATTAACTCTTAATAAAACATCCTACTTCATCTATTCTCAACCACCAACCTTCTCTGTCCCCTCTCAAACTCCCAAATCCTCCCCCGCCTGCAGAAACTCATATATCTGGAGATCCCGCTTCTCCAGCACTCTCACTGGTACATACAGTTAGCTCATTAATATTCATGACCTGGGTGGGTGGCACAGTAACATTCACCCTGCTCATTAATATTTATGCTGAGATTTGCATGCACCAATAGGTGTTGGTGTGGGCGGAGTTAAGTGAGGTAAAGAGAAGGAGGGAGGGAGAGAGAAAGAGTAGGCAATTGAAAGTGAAGAGAGAAGGTTGTTTAGTTGAGAGTTAATGATATTGATTGGACTGTTATCACCTGTAACAAAAAACAATTTCTACTTGGTTCTTAAATGATACGTTCTCTGGACCTCTGTCATTAATAGTGAATGAAGTTGATATAATCAATTGGTGGCAGCTGAACAACACATAGCTTGTGCCTTTGCTTGGTGAAACAACCAAGGGACAGGCAGGAACATGACAGTCAGTACTAGGCATCTTGAGGAGTTTGATACTAGGTAACCCGAGAATACCCAGTGTGGTGTCATGTGATGGACTAGGACTCTGGAGACCAGGTTTGAATCCCCACTTGGCCATGGAAACTCACTGGAGGAGTGGAACTGGTAAAATCCCTCATGAAATATCTAAATTACCATGAAAGCCACATTAAGGTCATGACTTAATGGCACTTAACTAACTAAACCAAACAATAGCCTACAATTAGAATCAAGGGTTAAATTTCTTAACCAATTGTCCTGTTTTCAGTCTGTCATATCTAGAAAAATAAAAGGACCAGCTCAGTTCTCCACAATCATACTATATTTAAATATATTATATACCCCCTATAAACTAAGCAGTATATAAATCCATGCCATATACTGTATTTTGTAATTGGACTCCAAAGTGTTCTGAACCTTTTCTTTGTTTATTCATTCAGAGAGACAACAAATAGGTTTGATATATTGCATGCTAAGATTTCTGGCATTATTTCTAAAAAATGTTTTTCATCCCATTGTAATCTATTTCAATCCATAGTAGTCATGAACTTGCCATGAAAAATTACCAAGAACAGTCAATGGCAAAATATTTTAAGCATTCTCTCTGTTGCTTGTATTGATTGTGAAGCAGTTTGTACAAGAAAATTGACAGTAGTGCGATCTGTATATTGTCTACACAGAAGGAAGGTTGATTTGGTTCAATGGGACTTACTCCTGATAAGTGCATGTAGGAGTGTAACGTAGCTATTGACATTTTTCTGAAAGGACTGAGCCCAAACAAAGGACCATGATTTTTCAGAAAGCGCAGAGAGAAGGGTCTGGGCAAATCTTTTGTGATCTCTGGTGGTGTCTCTTGAATGGACAAGGGATTTTGAATGGGATCAGGGAGGAAGAGTTGTCCTTCTCCATTTTTACATGTTTGACCTCACTGAGTCCAGTACATGATGATATCTTATGGAGAAGATATCAGAATGAAACAGAAATATGGCAACAGAATAAGAAACAAAACTGTGGGCGAGGAGTAGCAGCAAAAAAAGTAGTGAACAGTCAGAGATAAGTTGAGACTAAGGGGGTAATGGAGGTGATACCCATCACTCAAAACCACTACTTTTGCCCCAAACATGCAACTTAGAATCATAGAATCACAGAAAAGTGAAGTTGGAAGGGGCCTACAAGGCCATCAAGTCCAACCCCCTGCTCAATGCAGGAATACAATCAAAGCATATCTGCCAGGTGATTATCTAAGTTTTTCTTGAATGTCTCCAGTGTTGGAGCACTCATCAACTCCCGAGGTAACTTGTTCCACTGCCGTACTGCTCTAACAGTTAGGAAGTTTCTCCTGATATTCAACTGAAATCTGGCTTCCTTTAACTTGAGCCCATTGCTGCGTGTCCTGCACTTTGGGATGACTGAGAACAAATCTTGTCCCTCTTCTGTACGACAGTCTTTCAAATATTTGAAAAGTGCTATCATATCACCCCCCAGTCTTCTTTTATCAAGGCTAAGCATGCCCAATTCTTTCAGCCGTTCCTCATAAGGAGGAAAAAGAACCATATTGTAAACAGGGTTCCTAAACTTTTCCCCTTTAGAATTGGCTGAAGGTGGAGGAGACATGATTAAATCCCACCTCACCTCCCAAAAAATCACCTCTAAATAATGAATATTATTGCCCACCAGCAATGCTCCTCTGGATAACAGACTAAAACAGCACACAGGTGGCTCAGTCACAACAGTCTTCTTCCCCACTACAGTGAGATATACTGTATTTCTATTTAAATTACAGTAATTATTCATACATTTATATCTATATATATATGAATTAGCACATGCAAATTTTATGTAAATTTGTGACATCTTTTGGCCTCTTTGTTGGTGATTCATTTCCTTTCCATGATGCTCTGGCCATATCCTTCCCTCCTTTCTCTTCTCTCTTCATCTGAGATTGTGGAGGAAGAGACAATAAAAGCTGCTGGTGAGGGGAGAGCAGTCTTCCCAGAATTGGATTTAGTTGCTTTGCTTGTGTAGGGCTTTAGAATTGAAGGATGATGAAAGGACATCAAAAGCCATAGATGGTTAACTTGGAACCACAGACTGCTTGCCCCTGCCCTAAGAGGTGTCAGGATTCTAGGATATTTCCCCTTCCCCTTTAAGAAGCAATGAGCTCCATCCCACAACCCAAATTAATATCAAAATGCCAAAAGCTTTGCCTCTTCATGCCGAGTCAGTGTTACAAGTTGCAGAAGTTAAAACATGCATCTTGTTTGATTGGCCTGGCTAAAAATGCCAAAGCCTTCCTTATCTTCCCATCTGTCTTCCTCTGTCTCTCACCTGTCTTTGGTGCAGTCAGTGATGCCATCTTCTGTGCATTTATCTACCCCTTTTACAAGAAACCTGTATCATGGGAATGCACCCCAACTATCACTGGGTTTACCAGCCCTACTTATATTCATTGAAATTACATCAGAACCTGACTCTGATATTTGACTTACAACACCAGTCTCCTCAGGGCAGTGAGACGAAGTGGAAAAAAATGTCTTATTTTATTCAGCACCCTTTTTTGTGTATATTAAAAAAAGACAAAAGTCCAGAAAAGGCACAGCTTGAAAGTTGAAGTGCGGGAGGGGGAAGAAGCTATTGTTTGGAGAAAAAAATGTTGACACAACTCTACAAAACCTTTACAAGGTTGTACAATATAAGCTGTCAGTGCCTGTTAGCAACAGGTGTGTGTTCTTCATAATGGCCAATATTTGGACAAATGAACAAAATTGTCTCCATTCTGATGTAGTAGAAGAGGAAATTTCAGCATGGCCCATAATGACTTCTATGGCTATGTAAGCCAGAAACCAGTGTTTTAGAAGGCAACTTAATCGATTAAACAAACAACAGTGTTTGAACCTATATGTGTTGGTTATTGATTTTTTGAATTCAGAATTCAAATTCAAAAATTAGTGAATGTTTGGACATTTTCTTCCCTCTACCTGTTCGGAGATCAGAAACAGAACTGAAGAACTGGCTAAGAGGGGAAGGCTGGAAAGGAAATGGAAATCCTGCAGGGCATAAAGTTTTTGCAAATGGAGTTCCAAAAGAATGTTCATGTGGTTCAAATAATTCAAGAATATTTAGTTTTTCAGTGTGACCTCCCTGGCATAGTACACAAGATCCAGATCTGTCCAGGTCTGTCACAAGTTCCATTACATCGGCTGACAACAAGGAAATGATAACAAGTTTGACTTCTCTCAAACCCAAGACCCTGGTCAAGTAAACTTATTTCTCTTTTACCTGTCAAAACCACTCTCTGTATTGTCTGCTTCTAACCCCCTCCCCACCCTGTTGTATTCATTACCATTTTTAAGATGCAGGAAATAGTTTGCCTATGGTCACACAACCATCCAATCATTAGAGCTGCTTGTTGAGCTAATATGGGTAGACACATTGAAATTTTTCAAAAAGATGGTTGGATCCCCCCACCTCACCCTCCTCACAGTACAAGTGAGGACTCTGACTCTGAGAACTTAGATTATTTGGGAGAAAAACTCTTCACATGTTCAAAGTCCTGTTTTTGGACTTGACTTTATTATGTATTATGTTTCTACATCCACTCCTTGTTCTTAGTTGCTTTTTGTATCCCTGACGCCAAATAAAGTTTTGTTGGAATTCAAGATGTCTTTTGAGTGAAGCTTAACACTTCTTTAGATTATAGCTATGAAATCCTGAACTCTCCAGATGTTCTGCCATGCAGTACATGCTTCTCCATGCCACAGAATGTAAATCTAAGAAACAAAGAACATTTGTAGGGATTATATAGTACTGCAGGTTGTGAACATATTAAATTAGCATTACACACTGCTGCGTATTATAGTCACATACAACTGTTTTTTGAATTTTCCTTTTAAAAAGCCCTGATTTTATATTTAGGAATTCTACATTTAGGAATTTCTCCCATCAGCAGTCTATACAAGGTTCCAAAGGAATGTTTTGTTTTGTTTTGTTTTAGTTCCGCTAACTGAAGCAAATGGGTGAAATGCCAGCAAACATCTCAGTTTTGCTACCAGGCATCAGACCAAGATGTATCCCAATAATTTGCCAATTAGGTGCAATTAGCCACAGCAAATTATGCAAGTCTAGGTGGACACAAATAAGATTCTGATCATGTTTTTAATATGCTCTGTAGTTTCACAGGTATCCAGTGTGGCCCAGCAGATAGAGTGACAGACACTAGGGACCAAGGTCTCAGTGTCCACTTGGAATTTGAATAGAAACTCACTGAGAGAGAGGATCTGGTAAGTTCACTCCTTAAGTACCTCACTTACCTTGAAAACCCTATTAGGGTTGCTGTAGGTTGGTTCTGACTTGATGGCACATAATGATAGAGAGCTTTTGACTTTTCCACCAACTGAAACAGTGGAGGGAACCCCTGAATTTTTGTGGTGGCAGGAAATCCAGCAGTAATAGTGATCCTGATGGGTTCTGAAGGCAGCTCACTAAGCTCAAGATGGCCCCCAATTTTGTCTGAGATCTACACCTAAATTTAAAGTAGAACGTCATCCTTCTATGCCAGTTCTGAGCTTCTTCTGCCAAAAGATGAGAAAACAAAAATAAAATCACAAACCCAATATGCAGGCCAGCATTCTAAAGCACCTGCCCCAGTGTTGTGGCCTGCAGATTAGAGATGGGCATGAACTGGGAAAACAGCAATTCATGATGATTCATGGTTCATTCTATTCATGAAACACAAAATACAAAGTTGTGCACAAACCTTTTGTGGTTCATGTGGTTCAGGACTTCCAGGAGTGCTAGAATGGCCCCTGTGCTGGTTAGAGATGCCAAATTTGCAGAAATTCTTCAGCTTACTCTCCCCCTCATCTCCTCCATGTTTGGCAAAGACTGGATTTGGGACATTCAAGTTATAACTTCCCCAAAGCAGGTTCCCCCAGGAAGGTGCTCTTTAGATAGCTAGCTATGTGTCTTTTCACTCTGGCTGCTGCAAAAGTAAAACCACCAGCTGATTTGCCCAGGGTGCGGTACCTATAACCACCTGCTCCCAGAGAGCAGACTTGGAGCTCTGTAGTTGGCTGCCTGGCCTGACAATCAATCCTACACAAAGTTTTCTTTAGGTCCACCCCAGCTTTGCCTAGAATGGAACCAGGCTGTCTGGCCAGGGTCAACACGTCCAAAAACGAAGTGTATCAATTGCCAATGGCAATACGTAATAGTTTGGTGATTTGTTTCATTCTGGGAAGGTGCATTTCCCCAAAGTGCCCCCAAATGAACCATGAAATAGTCCGATTCATGAGGGTTTTTTTTTTCTTTGTGGTTCATTTTGTGCCCATCTTTACTGCAGATATTTGGGGAGGGCACCTTTAATTCTCATTCTTTCTGACTGCTGGCCATGCTGAATCAGTGCATGGGAGTTGTGGCCTAAAACATCTAGGGAATACCACACAGGGAAAATGTAATCCAAAGAACATCACCAGAGAGCCAGACAGAGATGGAAAATGTTTCCTTTCTGAGCCATAACTCCATTTTACCCCCAAACACCATGGCCATAACTATTTTTGTATATGAGGTCTAGGATTGAAATCAAAACCACCTCTATCAAGATTTGTTTCTGCTGACTTAAATGGCCAATGGGTTTATCACCTCACAAGGGAAAAGGTGTAGGTTTCTGTAGTACAGCTTTTTTATTTTGAAAGTACTAATTAGGGATGCTGTTCCCTAAGTTTATATTAAAACTTGTGTTTTAATATAAACATACCAAATCCAGACTTCCTGAAGTGGTATGCAACCAAGCAGTAATGGCATTCACTGGCATGACACTGTCCTGTGATATTCACATTCTCCAAATTTCAAGAAAATATCCTAAAGGAAATGTATACAAAAATACTGTCACTTTCCAGATGGAAAACCCAGGTGAAAATGAGTGGAGTGAATTGTAGGCTGATGGGAGCAGAAATTAACACATGTTGCAAAATTTTGAATGTTAGTTAAACTCCTCCATCTGCACAGCAGAAGTGCAGGGACTTACAAAGCAGAATAGTTTCAGGTTTCTCCTTGAGCAGACAACCCCTTTTTACCTCTCATTAACTGGCATTTACAGTCTCAGTAATTCACTCTGAGACATTGGTAAGAGAAAGAATTAAAAAGATTTCACTTACTCACAGTTTAACAGATCGAACAGCATACTGAACAAGCATTGCTCTTTAGAGCAACAGGCCTCAACAGGCTCACTGACTGCTTTTACCAGACTATTGCAGACTGCTTCCAGCAGTCTCACCAAACTAAACTAATTGCCAGCAGACTAAAAGAGAGGTTTAAAAAAACAAAGAGCAGATAGGCAAGGTTCTCTTTCAAATCAGAGGTAAGGAAGAAGCAATTAGTTACTACTGGATTGATTGACAGTTTCCCCAGCTCAGAAAGGTCTCTCCCAGTCAAACCTACTAAAGGCAGCATGCGAGACTGAAATCATTCCTACAACAAATTCACCTATTCCTCCATTCTGGACTCCTCCAAATGTTCAGCCATCTGTTCTCAAACAATAACTCAGTCACACCAGAAGAAAGTATTTGATTTAATTGCTGAGACTGGATAGCTACCTCTAAAGTCCGAGCTTTGTCCAAGACTCCAGAAGGGTTCTTCCAATCTATCCAGTGGCTCCTATCGCACCTCCCTATGGCTGTAGGGCTTCAGCTTTACTAAATGAAGATTCCAATTCTATTCCTACCTACCAAGGAGATAATCCCACAGAACCTAATGGGATTTACTTCAAAGTAGAAGTGTCCAGAATTCCACAATAAATAAGTTTGATGCAAACCTGTTAGAGATGCTTGTGTTTTTTTTTTCTTGGTTCATTTGCATTGACTCAGAATAGCTCCTCCAATGTCGGTATCTTCCAACACACTGTCAGCACAGAATTTCTGACTACAGGCCTATTCCTAAATCTTTTATCCTCCCCAGTGACATTTACATATCCCCATTCCACAAGTGGATTAAATTTCAAGAGTGCTTCTCTCCCCCTCCCACAACACTCTGCCTTCCTATGTTTTAAGTGTTTTCTACATTTTTACAGTCAAAAGCTCTCATGTTGAGAGGCCCCAACAGGAAGTGAATGTGTGAAGGGGTTGCTCTAATGAGAGATCCTTTAATCTACCTTTAATCCCACTCAATTAAAGCACCATTAATGACAGAAAGATCATTATGTGCTGAAGAACAGGGAAATGAGAGAAAACAACAGGCGGTTGCTTCTCCATGCCCTCTATTTCTCTGTATCAAAAATGTGAACACTTTAAAAGCCCTGAATGAGCCAGTATAAATCCCAAATCATGCTAGGAATTTGGCAAATATAGTTATTAAAGCCAACTAGCATAAACTATATTGATCCATTTGGAAATGGTACAGTACTTACTTAAAGGATAGATGACTACTCTATATTCTTGGGGTTTTTTTTAAAACTGGGACAATCCAGTTCCACATGGCACCCCCCCTCTTTCTTCCATGGATTATCTGCTCCTCTTCCAGCTGTTTTTTGTGTGTGTGCTGTCAAGTCACATCTGATTTATGGCAAACCTTTTCTAAACAAAGAATATTCAGAAGTAGTTTACCATTCCCTCCTTCTGGGGGTGTCCTCAGATTATGTAGCTTGCCCATGGCCACACAGGCTGGCTTTTCTCTTTGGAGGCTTGGTAGGAAATCAGTCTCCCAACCTCTGGGTCTGCAGCCAGATGCCTAACTCACTGAGCTATTCAACCAGACTTTTCAGCTGTACTCCAAATGATATGCTTATGCAAGATTGTGTGCTCATATTGCCAGTTACAATATATTAAAATAAATGGGATCTACAAAAAAAGGTTGCCATTACAAATTACTGGTTCAGAGTGCCAACTATATACTTTCTGAGACTATTCTATTTCTCCCATCTCCAACCTCAGAACTATTATTTCAGTTGATAAAATTGTGTAGTCTGGGAAGAAGGAAAACTAGGAGGTAAAATTGTGGCCCTTTCTTTCTGTAGCAGGTTTGAGGAACCTTGTCTTCCAGATGCTGTTAATTCATGACAACTCTATGAACGAGTGACTTCCAAAACATCCTATCATTAACAGCCCTAAACTCAAGGCTGTGGCTTCCTTTCTGTGGTTTCCTTTGATCTCATATTTGGTCTTCCTTTTTTACTGCTATCTTTAACTTTTCCTAACATCCATGTCTTGACCAGTGTGTCTTCTCTTCTGATATGAGGTATGAAATGCTCAGTTTTATCATTTTTATTTCTAGAGAAAGCTCAGGTTTGATCTGACCAAGAATCCACTTGTTTGTCTTTCTAGCAATCCAGAGAATCCTCAGTCTCTTGCAGTATGATATTTCAAATGGATCCTTTTTTTAAAAAGTTAGTCCTCTTCTCTGCCCAGCTTTCGCCATACACAGTAATCAGAAATACAACAGTACAGATTGTGATGGAGTTGAAGCAGGGTGGGATATGTAGTCAGAGAAATGGAAAATGGAGTCAGACAGGTTCTGTGTGAAGATGATTTGAGAGGCATTGGAATGTGTTTTTCTAAGTGGTGTGTGTTTTTCTGAAGACTGTACATCATGATTTGTGATAAGCTGAAGGTCGGACAAAGAGGCCCATGAAAAGACTCAGCATTCTGAGCTAATTGGAGAAGAGATAACACACCTGGATCTTCATGGGAATTGAGGGTGGAGGAAGGTGTTACAGCCCCTTGAGGCTAATTGGTTAACACCCATGAAGTGTCAAGAAGAAGGGAGGAGTTAGAGAATGTAGAAAAGATGGAAGGAGAAGTGTGTGTTTGAGTTTAGCTACAAGCTAACTAATTTCTGAAGGATCTGAAAGATTATGATTCTTTCTGGAATACGTTACACAATTGGATGGAAAAGTATGTAATTTCCAGAAGGAGGTAGGGTTAGGCCACTTTAGCACAGCTTAGTAGTGTTCCTTATATTAATGGGGATTAGTTATTTTATTTAACTGTAATACTCTTTGAATGTGTTCTTTATGCTAAACCTTGAGCAATATAAACTGATTCTATGAAACTTTATTTTTCTAATAAAAATAATTATAAGAATTCTTACAAAGGATTGATCTGATTTGATTTAAGCAGGGTCTGGCTAAATCCAGGCAAGTAGAGAGGGCACAAACTATCTATCATTGAAAGTCCTACCGAACTGAGCTGTTGTGAATTCTAAAGAACTACAAAGCCCATGTTTCAGTATTTGCAGAGTGGTGCATGAAGTAAAGTACTTGTTTAATGTCAGACTTGTTCAGAGTACTTACACTATGCACTGCTGAGGTCTTGGGACTTGCCTCACCGCAAAGGCGGTAGGTAAGTGGCCTGTGGAACTCTTTGACCGAGTGCTAAGCACTCCTTACGGAGGCTTGTGCACCACACAGATTATCTTGGCCTTGGTTTCCAGTCACATGCCCTTATTCTTGATTATTTTTTTCCTAATTTCTTCATTGCTGCCCTTCTGAATCTTAGTCTTTTCTGGATTTCTTGGCTACAGTCTCCAATTGGATCGATAACTCAACTGAAGTATAGAAAAGCTTAAACTATTTCAGTTT